TTTTGGGGGGGGGGGTGCGCGAGTAATTTTTTGTCGGTGAGGGGTTTCAAAGGATTATTTCATCGATTGTAAAGTCTAATACTGTGCGAAATGCATATAATTTTTTTCTTCTCCCCAACGAATTGTGGTTTTTCTTCCAGACGACCCCCTTGCCCCCCGCTGGTGCCACCTCTGGTTATAACACAGGTTTGACTGTGGAAATGACTTTCATTTTAATTAAAGAGAGCTACGGATTTGTCATTGAAGATTCCATAAGATTAAATTATTGCTATAGACTGACTACAATGTACGTTATTCAATACATTTAAATCAAATTTAGATCAATCTTAATAATGTGACTTTAAATACTGTAGGCCTACATGTTAGCAACTAACTATAGAATGTATTTGATATTATCATGTAGCTGGGCATTTAATTAATTATTGTGATTAATTATGAAAACAAAAACAGTGAAAGATTAACTTTATTCTGTGTACAGTATATCATTTTAATTTCTTCAATTTTAAACAAATGACAGTTGATTTTCGTGTTATTTTTGTATTTTAAATGAATATTATGTACTCACTGTTGTCTTCTAATCGGATCAAAATCTGGCCAAATTTTGGCCGATATCGAAAGAAGGTTTGGCCGAACTTGGCCGTGAGATGGCGTGTGTTAAGCCGTGAAGCCTGTTGACTATCTGGCAACCCTGGTCATATTGTATCCTAGGCACCGTGCAATGGGCAAAAAAGGATGGAAAGAAAATGTACAGGTGGAACAAAACAAACAGTGGAACTAAGTTTCAATGATGACAAAATGGAGTAAATTAACCAATGTCACATGATATGAAATCCACCAATCAAATGACAAGGATCTATTTAGGTGTGTTATAAGAAGGTATTTGTAGCTATGTTCCTGAAATATTTACTGTATGTATATTTCATTGCAAATTCCAAGTCTCAAGAATGTTTTTATCCATCTTCTCCTCATCCTGCATATATCATAACCCATTCTTCTCTCACATAGTAGGCTTAGACTGTTTTTGTTTATGTTCGTTTTTCTTGTACTCACGAAATTTCTTACGCATGAATCGTGGGATATCCCATCCATGTTGTGTCATGTATTCTTTCAAACTCCCCAGCGAAACTGGAGGTAGATAGTTGCCAATGCGTGTCCTGGTCCACCATGCCCCATTTTGGGCCTCTTTGCTCCCAATTTTTGTGTACCGATAGCGATAATGTTCCGCTCTTATATATCTGTAAAATACCAATTTTTAATTTTTTTATATTCTCTTGGCAGAAATTAATTGTTTTACAACTTTCTGTGATTGGCTGCTTAGTCACGATTGATGAGTGTTCGAATATAATGTATGTATGATTAAATGTAAACATATCAAAAACTTCAACTTCATAAATGTAACTTAAATTAAGAAATTATAATACAGGTCTCCCTCCAAATAAAGACCACATTTGTGACCAGAGTTTCCATGGTTTCTGCAGCTTTAGTGTCTAAAGAGAATAATAAAAATAAAAAACATTTGTTAATTTGGGACCACAGGAAGGTGGTCTTGGCGGTGGTCATTAATCGGTGAGTCAAATGGCTGAGCAGTTTAAGGCACTGCAACCTACAGTTATAACATCAGAGCTGGTTCTAACGGCACACTTGCCTATGGTTCTGGAGGTAGAACTTGTCTTCTCGGATAAGGACTATAAACCGTAGGCCCAGTGTACAATTGGCTCATGTGCACCATAAAGACAGGGTGGGGTTTACCCTGGTGTACTGGTCCATCTCACAGCCCCCTTCATTGTGGACTAGATGGTGTGGATTAGGTGGCGTGTCTTCTTGGCCTGCACATGACATGATGGGACCCTTAGGGGAGAAGTAAGAATGAGTATCCACATCCGTCTCAGACCAAGGCCATCAAAATTTGAAGTTAGCCCTCAGTCTGGGAAGAAGAATTAGAGGAAGACCTGTATTAGTATAGTGCTTTCATGTGTAACATTGCATCCTTTGTATTTTATATGTTTCTTTTAATACCTTGGATCCCATCCATCCTCAGTAGAAATGTATAACTTTATTTTGCAGAATCATAGAATATTATCATCAATATAAATCTTTGAATATCATAAAATATTCCCAGTTTCTTAGGTTAGCTTGATGGCCTCACCATTATGATACCTGTGAACTAAATAGCTATATATAGAGTGGCTTTCCATCTCTGTCCTTTATTTGGTTTTTATTGGTTTTTAGTTCCGGTCTTCTGGATAGACTACGCTAGTTGTATGTGACCTGATTACCTAAATATTTTACTAGTACTGGTAGTCTTACTAGTCACTGGTAGCCTAATATTCTCACAAAGCCTAATATTCTCACAAAGAATGGCTAACGATGATAATAAAATATATATTTTTATCTAACACAAATTAAGGAATGCACCAACTGAAGTAAGTAAATACTGCCACCTCCACTGAGATGGGTTGGCTTAGACATCAACTCACTCGGGTGGGTCCTTGTCCCGGAAGGGGTTGTGCTCAATAAGTGTAACAGTTGCCTCGTCATTTGCTAACAGTTTTCCAGCCAAGTGCACTAGCCAGTTATTCCGTTGATAACTCTGTTGGAATAAGAGGAAACACAAAAACATAGCTGAAAAATAGGGGACACAAGTGAAAAAAGATTAGGTAAAATAGTGTACTACTATATATGTGTATATGGTGTATTAATTCCAATTTAACCTTAAAACATCAAAGGTTTTCAACACATTTATAATAGGTACTGCTAGGAGACACTGCAGCTCACATCTAGCCCCTCATACAGTGTTTGCTATGAAAAAAAATGGAGTTATGACTTAGTGGTAAAGGTGCCTATCCTATAATCTCAGGTTCATGGGTTTAAGTCTTCATAACACAATTTAGTTAAAAAAGTAATACAATTTCCGCAATCTAGGGTAAAAGAAAAATTGTTTACGCTGTAATACCTGAAAGGCAGCAAACCACATGAGCCAGTCGAGTCGGTAGTGATACGGTGAAATAAGGCACGGTGTTCGAGTCACATTGCCGGGTTTACATTTAAACTCATACTCCAACCATTCCGCATTGGGGTCTGTAGGATTCGTGCTAGATGTACCTTGGAATATTACCTCTGTCCTTTCCTTGGTTACACTACAACAAGTACAGAAAGATTACATTTTAATTAATAGTCGTATGGTAATATTAATATGCATAGTTGATTGCCTGGTCAAATGGAAAGATGTAATGTTCAGATTTTAAAAATATTTAAGTATTGTAACTACTGTGCATTAGTCAGTTAACCTGTGAAAAATTAAAAAAAAAAAATTGTTGTAATATAATGATAATTCTAAAAACAACCCCAATAATACACTTACCTCCCAAATGCTCCATAGGTGTTGACGATACGCAGAGGGTCAAAAGATGTATTCATTGCTTGGCGTTGTGATAGGAGGTTCTTAACAACTGGTATACTAAGGTACGTGATTAAGGCAGCAAGGGCAATGTGCATCACACTGCGTATGTATTGACCTGTAAGAAATGCATAGTAAGTAAGAGAAGAATGAAAGATTGGTTAAAATTGTGAGCAATTATTGATGGAGAAATCATAGTTTATGACACACGGGGAAAAATTTGTATACTACCTGATTTAAAGTCTGCTCATTGATAGTCTGTTCATATTCATAGTCTATTGATAGTTCATATTGATACTATAAAGGCATTGATAGACTGCCTTAATTAAGAGCCTGCCTGATTTCTGCCAGTTTGATAGTCTGCTCAATTGATAGTTTGCTTATATTCATAGTACTGGTACTGGTATTGGGTATTTATATTGCGCCTTTCCCTTGCGGCTATGAAGAGCAAGCTAAGCCTCAATAATTCAGGAAAACAATGGTAGGCATAAAATCAGTCATTATTCAGGAACCCGAAGCATCACAATAGTACAGTCACACAAAAACAAAGACAAATAAACAGATTACAACATAATCTGTTAATTTGATAATTTTCTCATATTTAGTCTGCTTGATTGACTGTCTGCTATACAAACAGTCTGCTTCATTGATAGTCTGCTCATAGATTCATATTAATGTTTTTTGTGTGCTGGAAAAATTAATACCAGTGAGCATGATTGACTGAATGTCAGGAGTGCCAAGTCTCCCGGAAATCGCTGGAGTCTACCACAAAATCGGGACAACCTCCCGCACTCTGGGAAAAAGTTTACCTGAGCGATAGTGAATGCATATGGACAGATTGTGGACACTATAATGTCTGGTCTGAAAGCGACACAGGTCTTCCTTTTAATAATATCCTACAAGAGATCCTGAAACTGTGGACCTTCCCTATGAGATCTTACTTTCTTATAACCTGAAATTTCCCTTCCCTCCCATTAAAAACCAAAGAAGTCGTTCAACTCAGTTTTTATTACACAAACTTCATGTTTATTTTTAAATACTTTGCATCTGCAGTTTGAGCTGCTGTTCACTATTATTCATATTTACTGTTTTTGCAATCATGCAAACGGCCACAACTGGCAACAGACTCGGCTTCATGTGTACTGTTTGTTAAATTTCATCACCAAGTTTTTAGAATTCATTATTAAAACACATTCACTGCCAATAGTCATCTGTTTATCATTATGGGAGTGATTGGTGCAACTTCAGGTCAGGGGTTTTAAATTTCTCACCATGCTTTTCATTTTTGCCATTGAACAAGGAACTTTACCTACATTTACCTCTCCACCTAGGAGTATAAATAGGTGCTTTGGTAGGATGTTCTGTTACTGAATAAGCCCTCTCGATCACCAGGATTTATTTAAAGAATTTCAGGAAATTTTGTCCACAAAATTTAACGGGTGGTGCGTGAACATTTAAAGGGTGGATACATTTTTGGTACGGTACTACTACTATGGTGTTGGAGACGACACGGCATGACCGGTGTCTCACAGTTTAAATTTCATTTACTTGATACCTCTATTTTAATTTATCATTGCAAACAATATATACACTTAAATTATGAAGAAACAGAAACAATTCATGAGAACTTGTACCTACAAGATGGAATCTAAATACAAAGATGCATACACTAAGTGTTGATGGGGCTAAAGTTTTGAACATTTTCAATCGTAGTATAATTTCTTCTATAACGATACAGTACCATTAGTTGTTAGTAAAAGTTGAAAAACCATATTTTCTTTTTTCTTTTCTTTTTTGGAATACTCAGCCAAAATTCTCTATAAACAAACGTGTTTCATATGAAATCCACGTAAATTCAATTCAAGAGGCCTCAATGTTGTTTTATCAATCACCGTTCATAAAAAATAGATGCTTCCCTGAATATTGCGATCGGCACGCATGTAGGGTACTGAAC